CTAAATATAGAATTTATATCATTAGATGCTTGGTTAGTATAAAACCAACTGATGCGATCTATGATAAGCTGACAAACAACGTTTGGTACAACAAAAATTGAATCTACTTTGAATATGATTATAAAATGTTTTGTTTATTGTTGATAAGCTGATATTTTTCAAAAAGTATTATATAAAAACCTAGGATATTTAGAATTGTAGCAAATCAATGCACATCATATTAGATTTTGATTCAGTTAGCCAATTCCAATCTTAGACACCAAGACTTTCACCAAAAACAAAAACTGATACAACTAAATAAGGATTGAATACCACCATATCATAAGTCATAACTAACGTGGGAACAGAATCACATTACAAAAAAAGTAACTATATTTCACGTGGGAAATATTCATATTAAAAGGAATATTACCGTTCCAAAAAATTATGCTTACATTACATGAAAAACATGGAAGAGTTATTCCAAAAGAATAATATAATTGGCAGTCGTGGTATTATGAATAGTTAAATGATTGTAAGTTGAGTTTCAGTTGATTTGATCCCAAGCAATTCGTCTTGTTCCATCACTTCTTATTTGGTTTTTTTTTTCTTTGTTTGCTTTTCATCACTTCTAATTTGTATCATCATCACTTCTCAGACTAATGTTTGTCCTTTTCGAACAACATTATTTTTGGATTTTTATTTATTTATTATCCACATAATTATCCAATAATAATAAACAAACAAATGGATATAAAACAGACAAATTTATCATTATTCTCAAATTGTAATAACGTATTATATTGTTTTATTTTTCCCACCTAATAATCTCCATTTAAGTGTTTTAACTATTTTGAGATTCGTTATACCCAAAATAAGCTTTTGTAAACAACGGAAAAAAAAATCTTAGGTTCATCCTTCATATATCGTTAAGAAAATGAATATATAGTTGATTAGCTATATCATATGCATATGCATAATAACAGTATTGTGGAAGTGTTTAAAATTTGGGATATATATAGTTGAATAATTAAACAGAAGTAGAGAAGTCAAAAGAACATAAAGTCGGCAAAGATTCTATGGGCAAGTACAATTCACAAATCTTCTAAAATTCTTATGATATATTCCCTCAACCTCGAATGGTCTATTACA